ATTACTGCAATGTCATCCATCATATATTTTAGGTAACCAAAAACTAATTTTTAATGATACAAACCGTTTGAGAACAACTTTTAAAACTTTGGGGTATGAATGTACTGTTGTGGTCCTGTGACAGACAGTTTTCTCGCATCCCTTGGAACACGTAAAATCCTCTATTACTTCCGGCTGGGTCAGTAAACGGTCAATTCCACATTGGATGGAAACCTCACAGCTCACAAACAAATGGCTGATTGGATTGTATGTATGTGATTGTAACCTACATGACTGACATTGATCTGCCGGATAGAACAAGTAGGCAACTAAAACAATCCATACCCATCAGAGAGATGCTACTTGTAAAGCTTCATAGAGTTTTCTAAACCTACCAACAGTTAAATTCCACCCACCAAATATTTCCCCCACAGCAGTAGTCTGCTGGGTGCAGAAGTCAGGTCTGGAGATAATAAGAAATACATTAGATTTCAACATAAAAAATTCATTAAAATTTTCACCCCTAAAAAAAACAAAGAGGGACAGAAGACTTACTTGTTACCCTTCTTCGTCTCCCTCATGAGAAGCTCGGCCTGCAAAGTTTGGTGGATGCTCGTCAGAAATTCATGAGGGTCTTCTTCTCTCCCAAAGACTAAATTATCTTTGCTGACTTCTAGAAAGTGGAAAGACACATTTTGAGATAACATTTTCCTACAACAGTGAAATAATATGTACACAAAAACTCACTGCGGAGAAGGTTTACTATCCCAAGAGGCAGGAAAACGTGTTGGGAACGCATTTTTAGCATTGTCCTATACAAGGTGCAGGTGACGCATCCCAACAGACTTTTACACTCACTTCGGTGTTCATTATCATTTTCCAGGAAGTCCAAAAAACCAGGAATGTGGAACAGTGACTTGACACAAAATTACATGATGAAAATAATAGCACTCATATATAAGAAGAAATGCATTGTCATAAGCACTATTACCTGCAATGATGCATTTAGGTAACACGTGTTGCCTACATTAACAAGGCCACAATGACTATCTTTTATTGCTGACCAGCTATATTGAATGCATCTCTGATACAGCTTGCCTTTCAAAGAAGGAGGTCCAGAATTAGACCACTCCTAATAAACAGAAAAAAAGGTTATCATACATACCCTTTCAATTAAAGAATTGAGATGAAATGAGGGGGAAAAAACAGCAACATAAGTCATACAGTGAA